ACATATATATATATATATATGTATATATATGTATATATATATATGCGTATACAGTGAGCGATCGCTTGTTCAAATATATATTTCAGTGAGCGATATTATGTAGTATGATAGTAGTCTCTTTAAAAACCATTCGCCATGTTTTAACGAGCACATTATATTAAACTTAATTGATTGATTAATACAATGTTGCTTTTATTTGGAAATTCGATTTGCGTTGAATTATTTGAAGACGGAATTGCATATCAGTACACACAATAATCACATAAACACGGCTACATAACGAAACAAAAGACGTTTTGATAGGTATATATGAGCATGCATTCGTGCATGCGTTCGCGCGTACGTGCGTGTAAGTATGTATATACCTTTGGTCATCTCTAAATATATATGAGATTCGTCTATAGCAGCATATACAGTCGTAAACACACCTAACAGTAATAACAACAACAACAACAGCAATAGCAATCGTAATGCTACTGGCTACACTCTCGAATGAATCATTTTTGAAACTGACAGAAAGTGGACGGCCTCGCCACCCCAGGTTCCGGGCTGGTTTCCGCTGTGCCGACGGCAGCAAGATGATACCATTCTCAAGCCAGTGTAACGGCAAGAAGAATTGTTCCGACGGATCTGATGAAGAAGGATGCGCGGAGCCCTGCGATCCGGAGAAGTGAGTTGACAATAAATTAATAATAACTCATGTAATATGCACGTAAATATACGTATACGTGTATGTATACATGCGTATGCACGTAAATATACGTATACGTGTATGTATACATATATACGTATGCACTACTGATACCTGATATCTCGTTATATACAATTATATACACTTATATGCAATTGTGTACAATTATACACGATTATATGCAATTATACACACTTATATAGAATTATATGCAAGTATATACAACTTGTTATATATTTACACTACACTTACACTTCTAACTATATAACTTCTTATAACGTATAGAATATATACGTAGAATGCTCAGCCACTTATAATTACGACGCCAGACTAAATATCTATACTGTAAATACAATAATACTGTACTACTACTAATAATGTAACAATATATATGATAACAATACATTGTAACAGGTGATTGTAACATGTGATTGTAACATGTGATCGTAACATGTGATTGTAACATGTGATTGTAACAGGTGATGTAACATGTGGGTTGTCACCTGTGATTGTAACCATGTGATTTGTAACAGGCTGATTGGTAACATGTGGTTGTAACATGTTATTGTAACATGTGATTGTAACAAGTGGTTGTTAAGCATGTGATTTGTAACATGTGATTTGTTAACATGTGATTGTAAGCAGGTGATTGGTAACATGTTGATTGTAACATGTGATTGTAACATGTGATTTGTTAACATGTGATTGTAACAGGCTGACTGTTACATGTGATTGTAGCCCATGTGATTGTAACATGTGGAAAAAATTTTTTTTGTATACATGTGATTGTACACAGGTGGTTGTACAGGTGATTGTAATAGTTGACTTGTAACTCTGTTGTTTCAGATGTAAGCTGCCGGGCATTGCGCTGGCGCTCGCAGCATATATCCGCTCGAATTCGCACCCCGCGTCATGAGAGTGCGCCGATGTAGCGACGTCCACGCTGTTGGCGCATTGGAGCCGAAGGAGCCTGAGACTTGCGAGAGTAGTGCCTTTCAAAGAAGTGCTAGTGTTGTGACTGTATCCGTGTGTCCGTGTTTGTATGTAATGTTGGGCTTGTCACGAAGGCGAAGTTAGGCTTAACATAGGACGAAAGAGAGAGCTAAGAGGAAGAGAGAGAGAGAGAGAGGAGAGAGAGAAGAGAGAAGACGAGAGAGAGAGACGAGAGAGAGAGAGAGAGAGCGAGAGGGAGGGAGAGAGGGAGAGGGCGAGGGAGAAGCAGAGAGGGCGAGAGAGGAGAGGGAGGGAGAACGAGAGCTATAGCAAGAACACATGTAATAATCATAATATGTTTAGAATTATGATAATGTTCATGATAACGCTCATATATATTAGTATATATATATATACTTATATATAACTATATTAATATATATATATTATATGTATAAAGTATATACTATGTTCATCGATATGGCTGAAGGCTATAACTCGCAAGCTTATGCGATGTGTCGTAGTGAGATGGTAGTTGTGTCAAAAACAACAATTTTAGTCATGATGTTCAGTGGCTAGTGCGCAAATCGTGTTTGTTTTTGCGGATGCGTTTGATAGAACAATCCGTAGCTCAAGAGACATGCAAATTAAGAGAGGAAATGTTGTGTAATTCTCACATATAGCTTCGCTGCACATGTACGTCTATATAAATATATATAATGATGACATTTTTAGGCAACAAAAGTTCCAAGCTAGTCCTGATGCTATATAGTTGACGTTCTCGTAGAGAATGCTTAAAAAACGGTATTACGCTTTTTCATAAAAACGTATCACACACAACACAGACCACACACACTTGGGCCCGACAGCAACACAACACACACATAACACACAACAACACACAGCCACAGACACACCATATATATATGATGTATATATATGCGTAATACAGTGAGCGATCGTTGTTTCAAATATATATTTGCAGTGAGGCGATATTATGTAGTATGAATAGTAGTACTCTTTAAAAAGCCATTCGCCATGATTTTATACGAGGCACATTATATTAACGTTAATTGGTATTGATTATACAATGTTGGGCTTTGATTTGGAAATCTCGGATGCGTTGATTATTTGAAGACGAATTGCATATCAGTACACACAATAATCCAGCATAAACACGGCTACATAACGAAACAAAAGACGTT